GCAGGGTTTTTCTACAAACCGCGCACGGACAATTAATTACTGATGATAGCTTTGGGGCTCACTTCCAAAAGCATTTAAAGAGATTACTTGATTAGCCAGTTTATCTAAACCTGGGTTAGTTGCCCTCCGGTGCCATTCGGGTGTAGAGAAGGCCTTCGTGTTGTTCTTAGCGAGGGTGAATTTGATTTCTTGAAGGATTACTTGATTACATTAGAGACGAGGTCTTTCTGGGATTGGGGTGTTTTGTTTTTTTTTGTTTGTATTTGCAATTTTAGAGAACATTTTATTGCAGTTTTTTTTTAATTTTAAAAAATTTATCACATTTTTTAAATTGTACACTTCCGTTTACAATTATGGCCTCAGCCATTTATGTAGAATTAACTAGTAAATACCTTTTCCTTAACAAAATAACAGGTATGTTGGAATTTTAAATTTCAACTTTTATAATGGCGTTAAATAATTATGAAAGATCCTAACTACTTTTTTCTATACTCTGGGGGGATTATCTCAGGTGCAGTTTATTGGATTGTATCCTTTTGCAATTTGCATACTATTAAGTAAAATTTTTGGCTGGAGGAACATCTGCCTTTTAGTCTATTTTGCCTCAAATAAATCCGTAATAGAAGAGAAAAAAAAAACAACTCCCCCCTCTATTATATATGGGGCATGATCGTAGCTTTTTAGAATCCAACTTTTAAAACAATCTAAAATAGTAAAAAGTGATGTCAGTGACCCCTGAGCAGAGAACTCACCTGTAAAGCATTCTGGAGTATATCCCTGGCAGAGTGTGATTTAACAAATTGGTGGCTTTTCTGCCTCCGAGAAAGAATGCTAATAATATTTTTCTGGTGTGAACTAGCTGCTAGTCCTTGTTTAAGTTATATATGAATAATTGGAAACGAGTAGAATGTCAGGCATTTTATCCTTCATATATTTGTGTGTCCTATGGACTGAAGTTTGGGGGTAATTATAAATTTTATATATTTTTAACTGAAGATTTAAAAAATAACTTTGCTAAGTTTGTCAACCACTACATGTAATGCATTTTCACTACTAATTTTTATTTGCTGTGGTTTTACTTTTATTATGGAAAATTCCAAACATACACAAGAGTACAAAGTAAAAAGAACCACTGTTTTGCTAATCTTGTTTTATTGCCTCCCTCAAACATTTTTCCCTCATTGAGTTTTAAAATAAAATCCAAGACATAGGAGTATTTCACTTATAATTAGTCTACTGTTTAAGTGGTAAGAACTTTGAAAAAAATACAATCATCATATCACACAAAACAAAATTACCATATTCTTGAATTCTAATTGTTAAAACTGGAAAATTATGTAAAAATATTTATTTAAAAAGCTTAATTTGATTCTGAATATTTAATGCATAGAAGTTTTTTAATATTGCCTATTTTCTTTACTTGATTAATGTTTACATTTTTGGGGGGCTAGTCAAATAAATTGAGTATCAGGAGCCACTGGAAAAAATACTAAGCTCTGTTTGGGGCTTGAAAAAGTTCCAAGAGGAAGTAAAGATAATATTTAAGTCCTGCCATTTCCCCAAATTTATTTTAGTTAACAGAATGCCCATTGCATATTATTTACCCTTTTCCTTAAATATTGATTAATTCCTAAAATAACAAAATTGGTCAAACACTTTACAGTATGAACTTCATACTATTACACATATAAAGGAACCCTAGAGATATACAGACTATATTAGGAAACCTGGAAGAGGGCACTGCAGAAAGCATTTTTGTTTTTGTTTCCAGTTAAGTGTGTCTGGCCCTTCAATTTGGGGAAATGTTTACTTAGCCTTGGTTTGCATCTTAATGTACCCATGTTTCTTGAGATGCGCTTTAGAGAACGGGGAGGGGAAGAAACATTGGGCATTGGTAAAGCTGCTTCCACTTCCCTTTGTGGACAGTGGCCCTATTTCCTCTCCAGCTGAGGATGGATGCAGTTTGTTCTTTTTCCTAGTATGTTAATGAAGTTACACTTCCCAAGCATTACCACAAGGTGATGCAGTGATTTTGCACATTATTTTTCCACTGGGTGGTGTGTGTGTGTGTATGTGTGAGCATGCATAGTGTATTAATTAGCCTATGAATCATCTTGCTATATTGGTATTCTCCGTGAATTTCAACATTTTAATAAATTTGCATATCATTTCATTCTCTCTTATCTGTGTGAGGAGTGAAACAACTATAGGAATTAGAAATTTTCATTATACTATTTAAAATAGGTCAATTCATGTTGTAATTATGTACAGATTACATTTATCCTTAACTTTTTTGTGACTAGAAGATATTGGAATTTAATTTTTAAAAGTAAGGCCGTAACAAGAGTGGGATGACTAATAAAACATCTAAAGTTGTAATCACATTGAAATATTTTGAATGGAGAGGGATTAATGAAGATTATTATTGGGATCACAAATTATTTTACTCTTCAGGTTTATAGGCATCATGAGTGTATTTAAAGTCTGATGTTAGAGTTTTGTATTAGAAACTTGAATTTGGGGGAGGGTTTAAAATGAAATTTGATGTTTATATATTTATTTAAAGCATGAAAATACATTTATATATGTTGGTAAAAATTCAGTCAGTATAGTTAAAAGTAAATTCAGTCAGTATAGTTAAAAAGTACTCACCATACAGTTAACAGTCTTTATTGATATCCTTCATGAATAAAGACTGTTAACTGTATGGTGAGTACTTTTTAATCCCTCTTGATGCATTATAAGCATATCTAAGTACATATATGTATACTTTATGACATTTTTTACCTTGAAAATGTTCAGTGAAGTGAAAGTGTAAGGTTGGATTATGGAATTTTAAATCACTATTGTAATTGAGGTCAAAAGTTTGGCTGCCTTGTTTTATAACAAATACAGCTTTGTTGATTTAGTTTACTTTAGGAAATGTGTTAAGTTTTAAGAAAAAAAAGTTTTATTTTTATATTGCTTCTAATTAAAAACAGGTAACTCGTTCTAAGCTAGCCTTATTTTCTTCTTACTGAATATCTTCCTCAGAGAAACTTAAATATTCAGTCTTTTCATAGAAAAAATACTATTGATTCACTTGCCTCAGTTAGGTAGTAGTTGTATCTATTAGAAATTTATTTGATTGATTCAGTTACAGTTTTTCTTAGTGGTATCTTACCAGTAATGAACATTTTTTTCAAACTGGAATCTGAATGTTTTTTTTCTTTTATGAAACCACTAACTTGAAAAGAGATTATCATAAATGACTTCATTAGCATCAGGTCATCCCCCTAAACCCAGATTAGTTCAAGATTACAATTCAAAGAAAAAGTAATGGAACTCTTTAGTTATTTCAGGCAGGGTTCCAGTGTTTATAAGTGCGATTTTATTTTCCTGAAGCTTTTGGGTTATCAGCTGGGGAGTATTGACAGTTAAGTGTTTCTGTGAAATAGATTGCTGGTAATAGAACCTTCTTGTTAGTGCAGAGATAGCTAGGGAACACTCTTTAGCTCCTAATTCTGGCAAACCACAAGTGGAGAGTCTTAACAGACAACCAGCCTGGTATTCTATCAGTGGCTTTCAGGTTCAGGATTGACCGTCTCTTTATGAGATAGCTAATATGTTGTTTCAGTAAAGCATTACTTATAACAGAACCAGAGAAGACACACAAAGAAAGTGCTTGTTATTTCAAAGCCTTAAAAATTTGCCTTAGTATTTTAAACAGGTCAGCAAAAATTTGCCTTAGTATTTTAATAATGGGTTATTAAAATTATTAAAATACTAGTAGAGTCTTACTGTTGTTCTTGCTCTGTAGAAACTTCATTGATTAGTGAAGTAAATGAGATAAATTTGGTTAGCAAATTTTTTTTAAGGTTTTGAAATAACAAACACTTATTTTGAAATAGCAAGCACTATAAGGAATAGTTAGCCCCTTCCCCCCGAAAGTATAGCACAGAAAACATTTGGATCTGTAGATTTTTGTAGTCTTTTAACCTTCATCTGCTCTCCAGTGCTTGGTGTTCACTAAGCCAGTGAGCATTTATTGAATTCATTATAGATTTCTACAGTTTGTATTTGATGTAAAATAATATGTTTATTTTTTTATCAGTAACTATGTGGAATGTAATGGGAAGAAAAAATGAATACTGGAAGTCAAGGTGGGATTATTGAACCCAGAATGAAAGGTGAAAGGGTAGAATTGGTATAGGTAGAGAGGAACAGGTAGGCTGAGCTATTTTAAGTAGACCAGCTGAGATTTTACATGGTTTGAGAGATCTGAACAATCTTGTACCAGAGGCCGAAGAAGACAGTCTGGGTTTAGGAATCAGTGGAAATGAGCAATGGTAATGACAATTTAGGTTGTTGGGTTAGGTCAGAGTCTAAGTACTATCAATAGTTCTTTGTCCTAATCACATACAGGATTAAGATTAGTTGAGAAAGATGCTAAAAACAAAACAAAAAAACAGTTCACATACCCGTGCCCACACGCAGGTCCCACCTCCAGAAGTCATTGTGTTTTGTGGGTTTTATTATTTTTTTAAGGCCCCTAAAGATTCTTATGTGTAGCCAGGGCATCACAAACATGAGTGAGGAATGCAGGCACTGAGAGATTAGCGTCTGCTATAGGAGCCAAAAACCTAGGAGGGATGGTTGGGTTAGGTTAGGGAGGAAAATAATGAAGTTCAAAGGTCCAACATAGAAGCTCTTGGTGCAAAAGAAGCAAAGAGCTAGGCTTTTCAAGAAAGTTGATTGTTTTTTATTTTGATTTAAAAGCTTTTTAACCCCCATGTAACTTTCTGAGTCATATTGGAAATTCTTTATTTCCCAATTTGTTTGTGTTTTTATATTTAATCACATTCCTAAGGAGAAGTGACTATTAAAAAGTACCTATGTTCTAAAAAATGACAATGTAAATATCCATATAAGTTGCATTTAATGATACATTTTCTGAAGATTAAAGTTTTTCTTAGTTGGGTATCATTCAACTTGTGTGATTTACTTGTTTCAGATTCACAATGACATCCTTTCAAGAAGTCCCACAGACTTCCAATTTTGCCCATGTCATCTTTCAAAATGTGGCCAAGAGTTACCTTCCTAATGCACATCTAGAATGTCATTATACCTTAACTCCATATATCCATCCACATCCAAAAGATTGGGTTGGTATATTCAAGGTAAGAAAAACTTCTTTCATATTTCTTCCACCTGGGTACACTCTACTTTCTTTTAAGCTTTACTTGCTCTATCTTCACTCTACATTCAGGGTCATTTTTGTAACATCAGATGTAAAACATTTACATTTGAAAATGTAAACATTTTGTATTTAGTAGTGGGATAGTATACAACCAATGTTGGAAACTTGAATCCAGGCTTTGTTGTCAATGATCAAAAGGTTTGGCTTCACTTAAGGTCATGTGAAAAAATTTTGAGAATCTTTGTTTTCTTTTTCCATTGTCTCCATTTCTTGCCTGAAAAAATGAGAATAGAGCAGGTAATGAGATTGAAGAAAGGACATTCCTGGCAGGAATATGGTATAGTAAAGGCACAGAGATGAGAATGTTTATGAGAATGAGTAATTTTAACTAGAACAAAGCTTGACTTAAGTGGTATAAGATAAGGCTGGAATTAAGCTTCATTCTGCCACAAAGGACGACCTTCAGTACTGACAGTGGGAAGTCTTTGTAATTATAGTTTTGTAAGATGATGTGTGGAATAGACTGCATGACCTTTCTTATTTTCTGATTTTTTTTACTTAGCAATTATAACCACTTTCTTATTAATAGAGCTCTGAAACATTTTACCTCATGGTGGGACATTTATGCTGTTTGTGATATTTCTGTCTAAGAATCAGCATTACATCCTCCTCATATTATGTGGCATTTTTGCTGTATTTTTCTTTTAAAAAGAAAGGACCTTTTACTCTTTTGATAATAGGATTTTTGAAAACTACAGCATACAAAAAGAAAGGGAATGGCTCCATCCATCGTAGCCCCACCTTCCCCAGAAATAGCTGTAGTTAAGCTTGGTATTTATTGTTCAAGATTGAAAAATTCATGGACTCATTTTTTATACTTCTTTGTAGGTTTTATATTTTTGTACTCATATAACCAGCAAATATATTTTCAGTGCCTTTCCTGTTGTGTCTATCTTCCTTTACCTCCTCCCCACAAAATAGTGCCCCCCTGGGCCTCAGTATCTCCCTCTCCTCCCTCTCTCTTTAAAGGTGTTCTTTGTATGCTCTCTTCACCGTAATGTTTTTCTTTCTCTCAGTGTTTCTCTAGAGTTTATTAATATCTTTGTTTGCTAGGTAACCTTGATGTCCTTCTGATCTTTTTTACACTCCCTTTCAATTTCCTTTATGAGCAGTACTTTATTTTTACTTTTTTAAGAGCAATACTTCTTATCTAAGAAAATATGTTTTTCTAACAGGTTAATCTTAAAGATTTTCTTTTTCTTCCATGTTACCCTTGCTTAATTTACCTTTTTGCTCTTATTTCACTATTGCATTAGTAGAAGAATGATACCAGTACTATTGTACTTCCCCAAACTAAACCATGTGAAACATCCATTGTTTTGGTTCCTTCCTACTGTAGATACACCCTACACCCTTTTATAACTGGGTTAAAGTGTGGCTCTTAGGAGCAATACATTCTGACAGTCACAGGTAACTTTAACTGTTCCATTGTTCAAAATGTTGTCAGGAGATGGTAGAAGCACTAGGGGATGTGAAAAGAACTGTAGAGTCAGTTCACTGTCTCTAGGAGTCTTCTTTGAACTAATATGATAACATGTAATAATTACTGATGTGCTAGGTACTGTGCTAAAGTGCTTACAGGGATTATTTTATTTAATACACACACAATCCTTTGAGATTGTTATCATTATCTCCATTTTAAAGAGGGGGAAACAGAAGTAACTTATTTGAAGTCATAACTAGTAAGAAGTGTTTTCCGGTAATCTGATTTATTTCCTATACACTGTGCTTAACAAAAATTACCACTTAAGGAGTGCTCACCATGGTCAGGCACTTTGCTAAGTGCTGCCTTTATATTCATTAGTTAATTTAATCTTCTAGTAGTTCCAAGGGGAAAAACTTGAGCCTTACATAGGTGAGGTAAATCACATCCCAGATTCTTTAAACTTCCTTCTCATCTGTAAAAAGATGAAAATTATAATGTCTTTCAAACATTTTGACCCTGACACACATAAACAAATCTGTAATGTGACCTAGCAAACAAAGGTGCTTACATATACATCTGAAACAGATTTTTATGGAGTACTACTTAGCTGCCATGTACTCTGATACTTTTCTAATTCTGTATAATTTAAAAAATGTCATGATCCGTAAATTAATAACTTTCTATTGAGTTGTGACCTACAGTTTGAAAACACTTCTTTGTAGACTAAAGATTGTTGAAATTTTTCCAGCTTCAATGTTCTATTTCTTGTAATATTACTGGCAAATAGAAACCTAGTACCTATTTTATTTAATTTATTTATTTTTAATATAACTTTTTATTGATTTTTTACAGAGAGGAGGAGAGAAGGATAGAGAGCTAGAAACATCGATGAGAGAGAAACATCGACCAGCTGCCTCCTGCACACCCTCTACCAGGGATGTGCCCGCAACCAATGTACATGCCCTTGACCGGAATCGAACCTGGGACCTCTCAGTCTGCAGACTGACGCTCTACCACTGAGCCAAACCGGTTTCGGCCTGCTACTTATTTTAAACATCTCTAATCCATATTTAGCACAGTACAATTCATGTGGATAATACAGGCTGAGATTGTAATATATACATGTTGTAAGTTGAAAGTATTTCAGAGATAGGACATAGGTCGTCTATTATTGTATATAAACATCTTGATAATAAAGAATTTTTTACAAAATTTACCAATTGGCTTTAAGTAAGATTTGCTAAAGGTGAAAGATTAGTGTGAAGTTAGTGGATTTAAGGGGCAGGGCTCTAATTAAATACTTTGAAGCATAAAATAATGTTTAAAAAACCTGTTTAATGAATTCAATTTTTAAGCAAAATATGTTTTTATAGTATTTGATACTAAGATTTTCCTTGAGAAATTGGATATCAAATTGCATTTTAATACATAGTAGAAACACTACTGTTTGATTTATAAAGATTTTTTATAGCATTACGTTATAGCTTAATAAAAACCCATAAAATCTGACATGATGGTTAAAATATTATGATTTGTAAGCATATTAACCCATGTCTTAACTTTAGGATGAAGTAAAAAACATGCTATAAGATAGCACTCTAATATTAAACTACTTTCTAATAATCTCCATTCCCCCCCCCATAGGTTGGATGGAGTACTGCTCGTGATTATTATACATTTTTATGGTCCCCTATGCCTGAAAATTATGTAGAAGGATCAACAGTAAATTGTGTATTAGCATTTCAAGGTAAGAACTGAAAACTGCAGAGCTGGATGAACTTAGGTATTTTATTGCTATTAAAAATGATATACTCATTGTAATTGTCTACTAAGACATAGCCAGCATACCACAATTGAATTAATTAGTATCTTTTGTTTACCAAAAGTCATAGTGTAAATATCTATTGGCAAATAGAAACCTAGTACCTATTTTAAACATAGGCCACACGATACTTTATGTAGACATTATAAAGGTTTTTGCTTGTTAACTTTCATTGAAGAGAGTTGATTTCTTTTCAGTTCTTTACTTTTGATGTTCTTTTTCCCAAATGAGAAAACAATGCTATTACTCATGTTAGAATAAGATAACAAACTATAGGCCTAGAGCATGAAATTCATGAACTGGCAGGGTCCCTAGTGGCTGCCGGCTACTGGCCAGTGCCTTCCCCCTCTCCCCCAGCTATCTGCTGCCACCAGCTGAGGCCTCCCTCCTTTTCCCTGGCCTGCCCTCCCCTGGTTGAACTCCAGTTGAGGGGACAATTTGCATACTATGATTTTTTTCATATCAGATAGGATTAGAGGTGAAAAGAAGACAAGGATGGGCAAAAGTAGGTTTACAGTAGTAAGTATGCAAAACAGTGTATTCTTGTATTAGTAACCCTGTGCATGAATCTGTGCGCTAGTAGCTCGCTGCAGAGCCTGGCCGCTCCGCGCCTGCTGCCCAGAGGCTCTCTGCAGCCGGGCACGGAACGCTTGCCTCATCGCCAGGGCGAAGACACAGGCATGCCCCTAGCACACACCTCCCCCTCCCCACTGCTCTGTGCCCGTGGCCCAGAGGCCTCCGTGGCTGGAGTGGAATGCTTGCTGCAGTGATGAAGCAAGCATTCTGCCAGGCTACTCATGCTGCCTGCGAGGCTGAGAGGACTAGGCGCCACCATCTTTGTGATGGAGTGACAGTTAATTTGCATATTACCCATTTATTAGGTAGGATTATTTTTCCATAAAATGTTTCTTATTTTGGGTTTTCCTATGCTCTGTCATAATTGCACTGAGGTTATACATTTTCAGAAAGAATATTATGGAATTAATATTGTATCCTTTTCAGTGTATTGTATCAGGGAGCACTATACCCATATATCTTATTACTGGTGATGCTAATCTTGATCATTTGGTTAAGGTGGTGTCTGCTGGATTTTTCCACTGTAGAGGTAGTAGTTTTCCTTTGTAATTAGTGACTGTTTTAGGGGAGTTACTTTGAGACTAAGGAAATAATCTTGTTTCTCTTTGAACTTATACCCACTCATTTTAGTATACGTCACTAAATCTTGCTTACAATAATTATTGTATTTGTCTAGTGATACTCTATTCTCATTTTTTATATATTTATTAATTGGAATTATGTTAGGAAAAGTCCTCTTCACCATGGACTCATGGATATTTATTTTATTCTATGGAATAAATAATACTATCATTTTTTTTCCTCTCAAATTATCTTAGCTTTTTTTGATCCTACATAACTCCCATCAGGAGAGTTTGTGTGTGTTTTATATTCCCTTCATCTCTCAGTTCTTTTTAAAGGACTTATTTCTTTCTTTCAAGCACCAAAAGATGTTCTTGGCTTACCTTGTATTTTTCTCTGCCACTCTTATTTCTAAAGAGAGAGGCCAGCTATTTTTTAAAGAATGAAATCAAATGAACTAGATATCATAAGAATGAGACTGAAATTTTTAAAAAAATATATTTTATTGATTTTTAACAGAGAGAAAGGGGGAGAGACAGAGAGCTAGAAACGTCGGTGAGGGAGAAACATTGACCAGCTGCCTCTTGCACACTCCCTACCGGGGATGTGCCCGCAACCAATGTACATGCCCTTGACCGGAATCGAATCTGGGACCTCTCAGTGCACAGACTGACGCTCTACCACTGAGCCAAACCGGCTTCGGCGAGACTGAAAATTTTAAGATATGGAAGAATAATAGCCATAGTGGTTAGTACAGATTTCTGAGTAATAGTAAGACAAGGTGAATATATTCATTTTTTTGTAGGTTCCTTTCATAATCATTTAATGCTTCCTTTTTACAGGTCATTCTAGGGGATTCCTGAATTTTTTTATTCTTAATCTGCCCTCAATATTTCTGAGGTCTTGATATAGGATATAAAGCATGTGTATAATGCATGGTAATATAAGGTATACTGTGGAAGTTATTTTTCTTAATGTAAAAAAATACTAGGGGAGTTTTGGAGGGGAGGTAAATTAGTTTTGAACTAGGATAATCCAGCAAAATTTAAGAGAGAAGGTAACAATTGAATTGAAGAAAGAAGAGACAAATAGTGACTATACATTAGTGGCCTACATGGTATAAATACATAATCTGTAGGTACTTTGAACTCTGAGATAGATGGCTTGGAGGCTCTGGGGCTTAGGGAGGTTAAGTAAATAATAGTGGTAGAGCTGGAATTCTGGAATAAAATCTGTGTAGCAAAGCTTTTTTGTTCTACAGCATCAGTGGACCTCATCCTCTTCTGCTGTTACACAGTTTATACATGTAGCATATTCCTTTTCTTAATGTTTCCCTTTTACATGTAATGAATTGAGGGAAGATTTCTTTAAACGGCATGTTCTCACCCCTAATAATCCTCCTAGATTTTCATGCTTGTTTTTCCCTTGCTCCTCCTCCAGCCTCTCTCTCCTTGGAAACGACATATTTGACATCTCCTAGATGACTTAGTTTTGTTCTAGTGAAGATTTGGGGAAAGGATATTCTGGGAATAAAAGCTTAGACCCAAGATAGAAAAATTTGGGCATGTTAAGGGAAGAAAAGTCTAGTTTTAATAATTTATGGAAAATAAGAAGAAAGATATATCCTAAATGCCTAGAAACAGGGTCAGGAATGAGAGGAGGTGACAAGTATTGTTATAGTAACACTTAATAATAGGACATTTAATAATTTTTGGTTAACTTTCTTAGGATATTACCTTCCAAATGATGATGGGGAATTTTATCAGTTCTGTTACGTTACCCATAAGGGTGAAATTCGTGGAGCAAGTACACCTTTCCAGTTTCGAGCTTCTTCTCCAGTTGAAGAGTTGCTTACTATGGAGGATGAAGGAAATTCTGACATGTTGGTGGTGACCACAAAAGCTGGCCTTCTTGAGGTTAGTACCAACAGTGAATTAGTGATTCATAGATAATTTTAAAAACAGAGCATGTAAGAACACAGGTTAATTGTCATTTTAAGAATTCTTTGATTATGCAAGTGTAAAACCTAAAAAGCAGATGCTTTTAAATGAAAATAATTGAAAAATACTTACTGTGTTTTTTTCCTTTTAAAAATCTTTATTATTGAAGATATCAAATATGCCCCTCTACTTCCCCCAATAACTCCTTCCAGCTCACTGCCGGCCCCCACCTCTGGTCTTCACCACCCTATTGCCTGTGACCTTGGGTTATGCATATATGTATAACTTAGTATATTTTTGAAATACTTTTAAAAGTATTTTTATCACAACTAGATTATTGATTTTACTGTGGCAGGGCAGTCCCTAGGCTCTGGAAGTGTTTTGTGTATAGTAGATGTGCAATAAATAACTATTAAGAGAATTGAGACCTCTAGCTTTCCCAATACTTCCTCATCCCCAACCTTTTTTTGGTGGTGAACTAATCCGTTAAGTGTAGCCTGGTAGAGATTTGGAAGGTGAAGCTGGAGGGAAAGTAGTGTATGGCAATAAGTCTGTTGTTGAATGTGAACTTTATTTTACTGTACTACATACGAGCATGCTCTGTCCCAAGTTTTGGCAGTGAATCGGGAGGCATCCCAGTCTCAAGGTTCAAGGGGAACATTTTTAGAATGATTTATTTTCCCTTGTCAACTGATCAAATGAATGAATTTGGATTAACCGTAACTGAAAAAAAGTGAAAAGCTTCTTACTATTTTTTAAAATGGAATATTTGGAGTCATTGCATTGGCTCCAATAGAAATATACTAATAATGCCTTATGTCTTAATTTTTAGTAGTTACTGAAGAAGAAAACGGAACAATATTCTTTCAAGATATTTCTCAATATTTTTACCTAAACCTAAGTTCTAGAATGTTACATTTTGTTGCTGTGAAAAACAGCTTCTTTAATTGGTTCAGCATACTTTCTAAGTTCACATTTAGTGACAGGTCATTCATTGCCTTTCTTTATAGTCAGATGAGCTTTTCATATATAAATATTTTATGACTTTGATTTTTATCTTATTTACCTTAATAAACTGAGATTAGAGAAAAAAGAGAGGTTATAGATAAAATACTTTCTTTTTTTCTTTTTTTGTGTGTGAATTCTTCCATATCTACCCTGCCCCCTTCCAGAAATTCTTCTCTTATCTTAAATAAAGAAATGTAGTAACTTTTATAGGCTGACTAAAACATTTTGTGTTGACAACTGCCTGATGATCAAGGTTTTTAGCCTGGTATTTGAATGCTAGTCACAGATGCTGAAACAAGCCCTGCTCTTAAGAAGAATGCAGTTAGTTTACATTGCAGCTTTCTGAATACTTGTTAGACCACCCTGTCTTCAGGGCCGCTAACAGAAGAAGGGGCATTTGGCACGTACATCTCTTGTGCACTTTTTCTAAGTAAATTGGGACACCATACAATTTATTTCACTACTTCTTACTTCATAAAGAAATGGAAATTGCTGTCTTTTAGGGAAATATTTATGAGATAAAATGTTTTTATATCCTGACCAAGTTTTAGACAAGTCTTAAATTTTCACCTTTGGCAACATCTTTAATGATTTTATCTAAAACTGCACAAAAATAGTAGATATGTGAGACATTGTCTGCAGTGGCAGCAAACTCACTAATTAGTCAACAGAGCCAAATATCAATAGTACAATGATTGAAGTTTCTTTTGAGAGCCAAATTTTTTAAACTTAAACTTCTTCTAATGCCACTTCTTCAAAATGGACTCACCCACGCCGTGGTATTTTGTGGAAGAGCCACACTCAAGGGGCCAAAGAGCCGCATGTGGCTTGTGAGCCACAGTTTGCCGACCACAGGTGTAGGGTACTATTGACATTAAAAGTGATAGATGAAATATAATGCTTCAGTGTGTGAATCTTAACTGGAGTTTTTAAAAAAATTACTAATTTTCTTAACTATTATATTATAACGGTAGAGATTAAATAGGAAATTGTTCTTATTAGGAAATGCTTGCCCTATTAGGAGATGCTTGCTCTCAGTACTTAGGGGTGAAGTATGTGCAGTTTTGTTTCAAATGGTTTAGTTCCCCTCCTCCAAAATTACATAAATAAAATTAAGTACTGAATATAAAGGGAAATAAAATTAAAATGGCAAAATATTAGTGAATTTAGATGATGGGTATATGAGTATTCATTGTAAAATTTTTAACTGCTATGTGCTTGAAAGATATCAATCACAATACAGAATTGGGGGCAGGAATTTGACTTGTATACATTTTATAATATTCCTCTTGCAGCATATCAATATGTGTCTATATTTTAAGCTATGAGAAAGTTTAGAGCCAAAAGTCATTAAAAAATAAAATAGGCAAAGTATGAAAGAAGTTCAGTGAATAAATAGTTTTCTTTTGAGGATATTTACTCCTGTCACTTTCATTTGGTGTGATGAATGAGGTAGAAGGGTCATTCTAAAACCTTATACCCATTCAACTTTCATTAAAACCATTTTAGACTTTAATTAGTTTGGGTCCATGACCCTGGAAAATTGACTTGGGATCTATTGTGGCCATATGTTTTATTTATTTATTGTTGTTTTTTAAATAGATTTTTATTGATGTAAGAAAGAAAGGGAGAAAGAGATAGAAACATCAGTGATGGGAGAGAATCATTACTGGCTGCTTCCTGCACACCCCACACTGGGGATTGAGTCCGCAACTTGGGCATGTGCCCTGATCAGAATTGAATAGTAACCTCCTGGTTTACAGGTTGATGCTCAACCACTGAGTCACGTCGGCCAGGCCATTTTATTTTAGCTAAATGTATACAATGCCTCCTCTGAATATACATTCTTCTCCTATTAGAGTCAGTGATGTCTGCCTGTAAGAGAAGTGTTAACCATTTTAGTTACTACTATTTTAGGTTCCTTAATTTAGCAATTTTTTAGAATATTAGAGTTTAGATTTCCTGAACAGAGTAACTATTAGTGTTTCCATAATAATTAATATAATGTTAATGTCCATATTTTAGTCTTAAAACTTGTATTTATTTATAAAATTTTAATTTACCGACATACAAGGCATCACATATCAAAAATTAATCCATAATACCTTATTTAAAAGAACCCTATCTTTAATAGTAATCCCATAAGTGAAGGCCTTATGTAACATAGGAAAGTTCTTAATAGATTTAACGATTTCCCATAATTTGCATTCAGGAAGAGACATACATTTTCTTCCAAATTATTACTTAAGATATGCATAGAGTTAAGTCATTTATGAAGTTTTATGCCTTATTTTTAGTACTGACTTGAAAAGTGATCAGTAGGAAACATCATAATAAAATTCCTTAGTTGTATTTTTAATTTTTTTTCTTCTTTGCCAAACCAAAGGAAGCTTCATGTACTTTTGATTCATGAACTTTTCTATCTGAATGCTAAATAAGCCTATTTGATATGAAGTAGTATGTAAAAATTCTTTCTGTGAATGTCTATTATTTTTTTGAAGTGGGAAATCAATTTGTAACATTATAGAATTATTTAAAAAAAAAATCAAAAAACCCAGTTTGAGTTTTTTTGTTTGTTTGTTTTACAGTTGAAAATGGAAAAAACCATGAAAGAAAAAGAAGAACTGTTGAAATTACTTGCCGTTCTGGAAAAAGAAACAACACAACTTCGAGAACAAATTGAAAGGATGGAAAGAGAACTTAACCATGAAAAAGAGAGATGTGACCAATTGCAAGCAGAAAAAAAGGTTAGTTAAGTCTTATGTAACTAATATGAGTTGATATAATATATTGCCTGAAACCCACTTTTTACAAGAACTGAACCAATTAAAGTGAGTGAAAAAACCCTGTGTTGAAAAACAATAGTATTTGTACAGATACTTATACAAAAACATCAGTTTCTATCAGCCTTCTGTCACAACTTTTTTTATGTTGTAAATTATTAAAATTTTGAATTTTTAGTACCAGGCTTGATGACATAGTGCCTGACAACTATTTCTAGATGCTTTATATTTAAATGTAGAGTATTTGATTGATTTTTGAGGGGAGGGCTTGGAAATACAATTAGGAATGATAAACACTAAATAAGAGAAAATAGAATAAAGTAGTAAATTACTTTTCCAAAAAGCGGAATTCAGTGAAATGAGATGTAGTATTAGACAAAATTTGAAATCTTTGATGTGAGAAATTCTATAAATTATCATAAAACTAATATTGGCACAATTTCTTAAGAAAGAAGTATAAGTATTTAACATGGTTTCATTAGATATACAAATAGATTTTAATTAGTAGGTGAAAAAAAATGGAAGGAAAAAGTGAGTGTTAACCTTGGTAGTATGAAACATGATTTGTCATTGGGATAACATTGAAAAGTACTATGTAAAAAATGAGTGACTAATCAAAATTTCCCCCCCCTCATTTTCGTTGCTGCCCTCTGGTGGAGAAGTTAGTGAAATCAACAAGAGTGTATGAAAATGCAAAAAAAAAAAATTAATTTAGTATAGGTAGAGTTGAATGTGTTACAATTTCTGGTTTAGTTTTTAGTCTTATGTTATAAACTTTGAGGGGACAAATGTGGGATTAAAATTTAAGAATACATAGATGTCTGTAAGATGCATATTTTATCATACTAATTATGTTTCTCATAATACTTTATTCTTAGGAACTTATTGAAGTATCAGAAAATTTAAAAATGGAAAATGAGGAACTTAAGAGAAGATACAATTATGCTACATCCAAAGCTGTCAAGCTTGAGGAAGATATTCTGTTAGTGACAAATAAATCAATTGAAAAAGAAACTGAATTAGACAGGTATTTCTGACACTTTGAAAAGATATCTTTATGTTCTAAAAATGTTACAACAAAATTATTTTGTCTATATTAATGTTACATTACTTTATCCCAGTTTAAAGGACAAACTCAGGAAGGCACAGTGTGAAAGAGACCAACTTGAGTATCAGTTGAAGACAGAAAAAGATGAGAAGGAACTTTACAAGGTAATTTATTCTTTTCATTTCTTTTATTTACCTATTGTTGTACAAGAAAATTACTCTAAAACTTACTTAGTGGTTGGGAATTGGGAGCAGCTTAGCTGAGTTCTTACAGCTCAGGCTCTCTTGTGTAGTTGCAGTTCAGGATGTTGGCTTGGGCTGCAGTCACCGTATAGCTCTTGGAACTGCAGGTTCTGCTGCCAAGATAGCTCACTCACATGACTTCTGGCAGGAGGCCCTTCAGTTTCTTGCTATGTGGCCTCTTCAGTGGCTGCTTGAATGTCTTTACAACATGGCAGCTAGCTTCCAGGAGAGAGCAAGGAGGAAGTCACTTCATTTAATGAGCTAGGCTTCAAAGTTGTACACTGAAGCAAGCTACTTGGTCCAGCCGACACTCAAGGAGAGGGGAATTAGGCTCTAAGTCTTGAAGAGAGGAGTATCAAAGGATTTGGGGTTGTATTTTCTACTTCATTTTGTATAGTTCATAAAAGTTAAATTTTAGGAAATGAATTTTTTTTTAAAAACCTCACCTGAGGATATGCTCAGAGAGAGAGAGAGACAGACAGACAGAAAGACAAACAAATACATATTCATGTGAGAGAGAACATCTATTGATTGACTTCCATATATGCCCCCATTGTGGACTGAACCCATGTGCCTTGAATGGGAATTGAACCGACAACCTTTTTGGTGCATAGGAGGACTGAGCCACTCTTGCCAGGCAATTTGCTGGTATTTTAGATACTTAGCAGGTAATGTATAATAAGTCAAAGAGGCCTAATGCTAACAATACTTATCAGAATTTATATAACCAATGATTTTTCCCATTTAAGAACTTATATACCTTATAGAAAACATTATTTCAGTGATGGGTGTCATGTTTTAGAGTTAGAATTTTGGAATAATCTTCAGGGAGTGTCATTTACAGAGGATATGCTTACTGATGATAAATCTTCACCTTTTGTATTTTTTTTTGTCTTTTTAAGTGATTCTGAAATAAATTGTCAGTAATGTAGGTGCAAATGACTCATAAACAGTTCCTGATAGTAGTTTCAGGGGAGTTTTAAGAACAATTTGAGTTGTCGGTATTATTCAGATTCGGATATACATAATCAAGAGATTAGATTAGATATATTCAGTGAGAAAAGTACAGTACATGTATTTGATTAAAGATAAAAGCATAGCACTGCAAATAGTATTTGAGAGTCACAAATTTGTATTGAGAACTTACTTATTTTTGGTTGGTTTTGCTTTTTTTTAGTTATATTTTTAAAGATTTCACAGAGGATGGGAGAAGGAGAGAAAGAGAAACATAAATGAGAGAGAATCATTGATCGGCTGCCTCCTGCATGCTCCACACTATGGATCCAGGTACAACCCGGATGTGCCCGTACCAGGAATTGAACTGTGACCTCCTGGTTTATAGGTCGACGCTCAATCATTAAGCCACGCCAGCTGGGCAGTGTATTTTTTTAGGATAAAAATATTGAGCAGAACACGATTAGGGATGTTTTGCATGTTATTTGTTAAAACCCATTCTACTTACGACAATTCAACAACTTTCCCTGAGTAGGAGCATGCATATGTGTAGATACATCACTTTCAAAACAGTAAGAAAAGTAGTTGATTCACTAGTAAATGATTTTGTGACAACCCTTTAAGAAAAAGTGTTTAATGTTTGTTTTTTGAACAAGATTATGTAAAAAGGGAAACAATACAATTATGTAGAGGAAGAATTGATGCAGTTGGATTACCACTTATATGATGTTTTGCAAACTACCTTCAAATGAAGTTTGTTTTGAAGTTATAATGCATTTTTTAATTAAATGAAAATTTGGCACCTGTAAATGATTTACTTAATGTTATTATGAATTTCAGTGAGAATGTTTCAGTTTTGTTGCCAGAAAGAGTCCTGGGCACTATTTCTCTGGATAATTAAGTGCTTTCCATGTTGTTAGCATAGTGGGAGATAATAAGATTAATAGAACGTCTACATCTTCATTTTAATATAGTAATAAATAAAAATGAATCCTAAAGGCATACTATTAAGTATTGCAAAGTAAAACTGTGTAATGATAATTAGGGTGACTTAATTTGGAAAGAGGGTAATGTATCTTTAAATCTGTCACTTTTCCACACATTTTTCTTTTCTATTCTGAGAACAGCACTTTTGGCATTTTATAGAGGGTTAGCAATCACATTTTAGGGTAAATCCAGCGTTTATTTTTCTTTTTTACTCTCAATTATCCTTTGCATTATCACTTATTTTTTCTTCTTTCTGCAAAGACTTTGTCAGTTGTACATCTGTGTGACAAGTTCTTTGCAAAAGATTTGGCAGAGAGGAAGGAAGGGCATGACAGGTATCTTAAGGATTTATTCTTTTCAGTGTTCTCATATCTTTGGTTTCTATAAGCATAGAAGTTGGGATCATAGTGACATAGAAATTTTCACTTAAGTACACTCTCCCCTCAACCCCCCTTTCCTCGCCCCTGAGTGTTCTGAACAGTATTTAATTCCTGTCTGTGGGACTTTTGTTGTTATTTTGGAATGGAGAGTTTATTTACTGATTTTGAGAAGACTTACTATATGCTCTTTTTATTGATTTTTGAGGGAGAGAGAAAGACAAAGAAAAGAACATTGATGTGAGAGAAAAATAATCTATTGGTTGCCCCCCTACCGCACCCCAGAACTAGCAATCTAGGTATGTACCCTGACTTGGAATTGAATCCACAACTTTGGGTTCCAACCAACTATACTCTTAACCTTAGAATTTCCCATTCAGATTGTTCATGTGAATACCAGAGAGAGTCCTTTTATCTCACTCCTAACCCTTATTGGATCATATAACCCATCCTTGTCCTATAAGAATTTAGAGAAATTGATCACTCTCATGAGTTGATAATTACGAAAATTAGGTAATGTTTTCAAAGTGATGCTGCAAAGATCTTGGCTGCTGAACCCTTCCGAGAACCCAGATTTATATTCTTTCCTTGAAAACAAATTAGTATTTCTGCATTCCATACATTTAAAGAGTAAAGTGCAAGAAGTATGTTAATTCATTTATCTCTGGCATTTTTTTTTTTAAAATATTTTTTTTATTGATTTTTTTACAGAGAGGAAGGGAGATATAGAGAGCTAGAAACGTCGATGAGAGAGAAACATTGACCAGCTGCCTCTTGCACACCCCCTACCGGGGATGTGCCCACAACCAACGTACATGCCCTTGACCGGAATCGAACCCGGGACCCTTCAGTCTGCAGATCGACGCTCCACCACTGAGCCAAACCGGTTTTGGCTCTGGCATTCTTTTTAAAAATATTTTTAAATTGATCGTAGAGAGGAAAGGAGAGGGAGAGAGAGAAACATCAATGATGAGAGAGAATCATGTATCAGCTGCCTCCTGCACATCCCCTATTGAGGACTGAGTCCACAACCCAGGCATGTGCCCTTGACTGGAATCGAACCTGGAATCCTTCAGTCCTAAGGCCAGTGCTCTATCCATTGAGCCAAACCAGCTAGGGCATATCTCTGGTACTCTATAGTGGAAAGTAGTTTTGATGTGTATCTATTGTGAGTAAATGAGCAGCTACAGCCAAAGTTCGTGAGAAAACTATTGGGTTAATTAACAACAAATATATTTTCAGGCTTACAGGAAATAAGTGATATAGTAATTTTCACAAGCAAAAGTTGAATTTTTGAAGATGTGTTCCGGAATCTCATTTTGCCTTTATATCTGAGTCTGTCTATAATCTAACATTTTGCTAAAAGAACAACCAAATCCACTTGTGATTTTAAAGATAGATTAAAATTATTAAATCAAAGGAAAAGACTTTAGAGATCCGATAATATTATTAGACCTTAGAATTATTAGTTTCTATGGAAAATTAAAAAACAAACAACACTTAGAAAGCTGTGTTGTTAATCTACATAGTTAGCTAGTCACTTGGCAGATCTTGTGTCTCCTGACTCCAAGTCTGGTAAGTCTTCCCATTCCTTCATCATATTTGGGTTAGAGATAAACAGTGGTATTTTAAACTTGGACTGACTTAGGTTTTAGAGTTAGAATATTCTTGACATTTTTAAGCACTGTTACAGGTCCATTTGAAGAATAGAGAAATAGAAAATACCAAGCTTGTGTCAGAAGTCCAAACTTTAAAGAATTTAGATGGGAACAAAGAAAACATGATTACTCATTTCAAAGAAGAGATTGGCAGACTACAATTCTGTTTGGCTGAAAAGGATAGTCTGCAAAGAGCTTACCTGCTCACCACCTCAAGTAAGGTAAGTACTTTTGCAACATGTATTTGAAGATTGTAAAACTTACCTCTGTTAAATGTATACAATATGATGGTTTCTATTTTTAATCTTCTCTCCCCCAACATTTTCTTTTGAAGAAGTTCAAATTTATTCAAAAGTTGGAAGAACAAAACAATGAATACATATTCTCAAATAAAAGGCAAACTATCTTTATGTCATATATATATATATATATATATATATATATATATATATATGCCTTTTCTGAACCATTTGAAAGTCAGTTGCAGGTATTATGACCAAGAAATTTAACACTGATTTTTAGTATTCATTTTGTATATAGTTCTAGTCTACATTCAAATTGTCCCAAATAAGTTTTTATTTTACCTTTAAAATTTTTTGATCCAGGGATGGTCAAAGATCAAACATAAATTTAGCATTGTGTTCTTGGTCTGTTCTAATCTATAATAGTATCCCTGTACTTTTTGTCTTTTTTGACTTTGATACTTTTGAAGAATTCAGGCTTGTCTGAGGGATTCTTCATAATTTAGATTTCTTGTTTTCTCACGATTCGATCAAGTCAAACATTTTTGGCAAAAAAAAGACATAGGTGATGTTTTATACATTCTGTTGCAGTCGTATCAAAGGTCACATAGTGTTAATTTCATTCTTGATCATGTTAGGTTTACTTATTTGTTTAAAGTTATGTCTGCCTTTCTCTTCATATATCAGTGCCTTTCCCTCTGTGATTATTGAGTAAACTGTGGGATAATACTTGAGATCATGTGAACATCCTATTCCCCAGTAGTCTCTGACCCAGTGTTTTTTTCCCCCCTGAATGATCCTCACCTGCATTATATATTTATCTGCATTTCTTCAGGAAGATACATTTTTGGTAAAGGAGCAACTTCGTAAAGCAGAGGAGCAGATTCAGGCAACTCGACAAGAAGTTGTCTTTCTGTCTAAAGAACTTAGTGATGCTGTAAATGTACGAGATAAAACGATGGCAGATCTACATACCGCACGCTTGGAAAACGAGAAAGTAAAAAAGCAGTTAGCTGATGCAGTGGCAGAACTTAAACTAAATGCTATGAAAAAAGACCAGGTAAAGCAGGTTAATTTTGAGTTTCCATTGTGATCAAAACTCATGAGAATGAATTGTGTTAAAATAAATCAAGTCAGATTCATCATCAGAATTTTAAATTTTCATTTTGTTTAGTCATTGAAATCTCTTGGGTTGAAATTAATGTATGTTTTAAGAAAAATCACTGTAAGCAAATTCCTAATGGTTAATAAAAGCTGGTCTATTATTGCTAAACTTTCTGATGTCAGGTATATATTACTTTGTTGAAATTTCTTATTTACTAGTTGCATAAAAGGTATTAGGTTATTTAACAGAGTAATACTTGCTCCTCAGGAGGTGGATTGTTCTTCAGTTTTTTTAATGAATCTTAGTCCCAAGAATATAAAGTTGGATTTATTAGGAGAACTAACTAATATGACCCTGTAGCTAAATCTCCAAAATAAAAATAGCCTAGCCTGTGTGGCTTAGTGACCTATGAACCAGAAGGTCATAGTTCGATTCCTAGTCAAGAGCCCATGCCTGGATTATGGGCTTGGTCCAGGAGGCAGCTGCTGATCAATGATTCTCTCTTATCACTGATGTTTCTCCCACCCTTTCCCCTCCCCACCCTTCTCCCCCTCTTCTTCCTTCTCCCTTTCTCTCCCTCTCTTCCTCTCCCCCCACCTTGCTTTCTGAAATAAATAAAAACACATTTAATAATTTTTAAAAAAGCCAGAAAGAAGAAAGTGAAAATGAAATTTGAATTTACTACTGTGTTATGATAGAAAATTATTATCTTTATCTTAGAGTAATTGTTTATTTTTTTAGGAAAAAACTGATACACTGGAACATGAACTGAGAAGAGAAGTTGAAGATCTGAAACTTCGTCTTCAGATGGCAGCAGATCATTATAAAGAAAAATTCAAGGAATGCCAGAGGCTCCAAAAACAAATAAACAAACTTTCAGACCAATCAGTAAGTATAACAGAATTCATACATAGTGAAATAATTTCTTTTATCAATATTTTTGTTTGCAAATCAATCCTATATAATAAAAGCCTAATATGCAAATTAACCGAATGGGGGAACGACCGGTTGCTATGATGGGCACTAACCACAAGGTGACAGATGCCTAATGCAGGAGCTACCCCAGCCTGCAGGCCCCAGGCTAGCCAAGATGGGTGCCAGCAGGGGGGTCCCCCTAATCGCTCTGCCAGTCTCCTGGCAGAGGGAGGCGACTAGTGGTGGTGGGAGGGGGTGAGGCCTGGGAGCGGGTGGCACCAGGCTGGCCAAGGCAGGTGCCAGTGGGGCCCTCCTGATTGCCCCCCTAGTCACCCCACAGTTCGGCCTTGTTCAGGCCTAGGGATGTGCCCGCAACCAAGGTACATGCCCTTGACCGGAATCGAACCTGAAACCCTTCAGTCCGCAGGCCGACGCGCTCTCCACTGAGCCAAACCGGCTTCGGCTAACATTTTCTTTTTAATCCTCACCAGAGGGAATGGAGGGGTGCCGGGAGGGGTTGTTTAGGGGGGGGAGAGAGACATCAGTGAGAGAGAGAGAGACATCAGTGTGAGAGAAACACATGCTTTGGTTGCTTCTACATGTGCCCCTACCAGGGCTGGGAAATGTGCAACTGAAGTATGTGCTCTTGACTCGGAATTGAACCTGCAACTCTTCATTTCAAGGGCTGATACTAATCATTGAGCAAAACTGTCCAGGACTGTAATAATAATTTTTAATATCTTTTTTAATTTTTATTTATTGGAGAACTAATGAAGGAAGCAAGGACAACAGCAGGGGAAAAAGCCCTCTTTTCACCATTGTTCTCTTAGGTTGATTAAATGTATTTTTCACTTAAATATTAATGACATATTTTTGAATCCCTCTTTGTGACAATGACGCTTGTCTTTGGTGTGGGATTCACCATTTGTCATTGGTGAGTTCTTTCCTCCTATTCATATCCACTAGATTAGGGAGGATTAAAAATCATTAGCTAATTGTTTTATATTCCATTTGAGGACGGGAAGGCAGATTTAATAAAAATCAATGATAATGCTCCTGCTTTGATGACTGTGTATTTTAATGTGGGTCCCCAAATTGTGCTTTAATATAAGGTTTCTTATGTAATGGAGTCTTGGAAGTGAGGAAACACATTTAGAACCCAAAGTTGAAAAGTTACCACAGTTTTCTTAACCACATTTACTATAGTTTTATTATTTGTCTTTTTTGAAATCTGAAAGGAGACAAAAGAAGCAAGAAATGCATGAGTAGGAAGGCTTTTGTAAAGAAAAAAAATTACCCTTTAACTATGAACCAAAGGTATAGATTTTGGTTTGGGGCCTTTAAGTATATTTTGACTTTGTAGTAGAAAACTTGTGAAATTTCTGCTTTGGTGGTCTTTTGATGTTTTGACAAGTAAAAACATAAGGTTTTCTCTTTTGTAATGTGAGTAAAGTGGTGTGTGTAACTTTAGTCTTTGCTGGCTTTTAGGACAGTTAGCTTTGTGGACTTTCAGGATTTTTTGATATGATGACTATTTACATAATGGATAAAGGGAGAAAATAGAATTCATTTAATAATTTATTGTTAACATTTTGAATAGGCCAATAACAATAATGTCTTCACAAAGAAAATTGGAAGTCAGCAGAAGGTGACTGATGCCTCAATAAACACAGACCCAGCTACTGCTACCTCTACTCTAGGTGTAAAGCCACTGCCTTCTGCAGGTAAAAATGTTTTAGGCTTTTTGTATAGTGTCCTGCCTTAAAACATATTTATAATTACTTATATTGCCTTATCCCAGGAGTAAGAATTTTAGGAAGTTTATAGAAATATTTATAGTATACTTAAGGAATTGAGGCAAAGGGAAAGTAAGGATCTAAAAGTTAAATTCAAGCATATGGTGAATATACAAAATGTGAGTGTGAACTAGTGTTTATCTTCATGAGAATATTCATAAGTGTTAACTGACCTGATGTTTGTAAGCTCAGATTCGTATAGCTTTTGGGCTATAGGATAAAAGCCAAGAATTGAATTTTTAATTAACATTCCATTAAAATCTATGGAATTTTGAACATTTCTGGCACGTCAGTTAAATTTTGTTAGTGGGGATAACTTGTAAATCCTTTTTGGCGTGTCTCCTCTTTGTCTCTGGCTGCTTTGGATCAATAAGGTACTTTTCTCAATGTACTTGTCAGTGGATAAGATAAATTTTTATGTTAGGTTATTAATTTACAGAACAGAGAATTAATGAATACACGAATAACATGTAAATTTGAATTAACTCTAGGATTTTACTTTTCCTCATATCTTTTTTCCATCCTCTGTTAATGATTTAGCAATAATGAAGATAAGTACTAGAGTATGTAAAAGTATATTTCCATGTGTAATGTTTGGGCAATTGATGTCTTATACTTTTTAAATGTATTGTGAATTTCCTGTACTATTAAATATATAATTAGCTTCAGCTGCTATAGAATAAGATCCTGTTTTATATTTCTGTACATCCTCTTAGTTACCTACATGATGTTGTACAATATTTACTTAATAAAGACCTAGTTAATAGTGATGAAAGATTGGAAAAATGATTTAAAATGTTTTCTCAAAGAACATGGCTTTCTGCTTTTCCTATCTATTCAGTTATATAAATTTTTGTGCCATTTAGAACTATTTTGAGCTAATTAAAAAATAACAATCCTTTCATTACTGAACATGAACTTGGTTCTGGCCAAACTGACATTTAAAGACTTCTTACCTAGAATTTATATATATTATCTTTCTTTCTTTGTTTAGTGTATGAATATGTATTTTTTAAATAGGTATTTTTCTTTAGTATTCCATTTGTTGTATTTCACAGTATCCTGATCTTTAAGTTATTCTGAACAGGAAAATAATATAAGGAGAAAATAATTTTTAATGACTTTATTTTCTGCCTTGTTATAGCTGAGACAGATTTTGACATTGTAACAAAAGGGCAAGTCTGTGAAATGACCAAAGAAATTGCTGACAAAACAGAAAAGTATAATAAATGTAAACAACTCTTGCAGGTAAGTGAAAGGTATATTTATTAAATGTAATAGCTTAGGCTACCTTTTTTGTTTTGATTGATGGGCACCTAGGGTTTTTTGTTTTTTTCTTTCTACAAGCAGGTACACATGTACTGTTATTTGGTTTGGCTGTTGAGAGGGCATTGTTGTATGTGCCTTTTCATGTAGATCTATATATAATATCATGGTCCCAAAATTAGTTTTTGTTCACCTAAGGTACTTCTCTTGATAATGGATTGAAGTTGGAGATTGTTTGTCTTATTATCAGGATACATGGAACTTTATAAAAGAGAAGTGCTCCTTTTACTTTTACTGTAATAATAGTACAAATTTCTACCAAATCTTAAAATGACCAGATTTGCAAAGTGGAGAAAGGAATATTAATCAAATGAGTTGTTGCCCTTACAGTGATACTTATTTTGATGATTTTAAACTGTATTAGTAAAATATTTCAGTTTTGTAACTGTCTTGGTAGCATTCACTTCTAGAGTATGTAAAGGACAAAGGAAAGGTTCTTCCCATTTATATCTAATTTGCAGAAGGAGGAGAAGCTATTTTGTGTATGTAATTTTTGTTTAAATATTTTTTGTGTCTGTTTCTTTGTGTATGTGAAGAGGAGAGGGATAATTTTTTATAGCTGGTGAAGTCCATATATTAGCTCAAGGTTACAAGAGTAATTTAAATATTTTATGCTACTGCCTTGTAAATAATATTAATGTAATTTTTTAAACCGAATGTTTATGTTGCTTCAGATGATCTTGCTTTCTGTGGAAGTGTTGATTAGTACAGTTTATGCTAGAGTTCAAAGTAGTTGTTTGTAATAAGGGACTAAATTATTCATTAAGTATAAAACAATTCTGGAGGAATATTAAAAATTAATCATGTACTATTGAAAGGAAGATAGAGTGTTCCATTGAAACTAAAACCTTCCTCAAGGTACATTATTTTCTTTTACAACTGTGTTGAAGTGCAATTGAAATTCTATAAACTGCACATATTTAAAGTCTGCAGGTTGATCACTTTTGCCTATATAGTTGTGAAACAATGTCACATTTTTTTGTTTTTGTTTTTTGTAACTGTTCGCAACTCATTTCTCCCTCTGTCTCCATCCCTGGGAAACTATTAGCTTGCTTTGTCTCTATAGATTAGCATACTGTTTGTACAGTTTCTCTAAATAGAATCATATGGTTTGTACTCTGTTTTCTGTCCTCTTTCAGGATAATTTCATGTTGTTGCTTATATTGGTTCTTAACTCCCTTTTTATTGCATGAGTTCAAATCTTTACTATTTTAAAAATAGGGTTATTCATCTTATTGCGTTTGTGTTCTTTATTCTGGCAATAAGTACTTTGTCTCATATATGTATAGTAATTATTTTTTTTTTTTTTTTTTTTTAAATATATATTTTATTGACTTTTTACAGAGAGGAAGGGTGAGTGATAGCTAGAAACATCAACCAGCTGCCTCCTGCACACCCCCTACTGGGGATGTGCCCACAACCCAGGTACATGCCCTCAACCGGAATCGAACCTGGGACCTTTCAGTCCGCAGGCTGACGCTCTATCCACTGAGCTAAACCGATTTCAGCATATATGTATAGTAATTATTTTCTCTAGTCTGTAGCTTGCCTTTTCATTTCCTTAATGTTATTTTTAGAAAAAGTTTTAATTTTGTTGAAGTATAGAGTATCAACATTTTTAAAAATGTTTTATGTTCTAAAACATTTACCTAATTTAACTTATATTTTCTAGAACCTTGTCTTCTAGTAATTTTATAGTCTTAGGTTTTACATACAGATGTATTAGCCATTTTGTTTATTTTTGTGTGTAGTGTGAGGCATGGTATGTATAGTATGGTTATTCAGTAGATTCAGCATTCTTTGATGAAAAGACTTTTTTTTCATTGACTTACTCAAAAGTCAATGAAACTTTAAAACTTTAAAACTTAAATATTTTAAAACTTTCACCTTGAACAAAAATCTTTAACATGAAGTTGGCCACTTTACCTTTTTGTCGTGTTTGTAACTGCTCCCTTTTAACATCTGAGTTCCAGAGTAGAGCAGTGTATGACTAGTCAACCTACAAGTTGTCTTGGTCCAAAAATCCTAGAGTTTTATTTATCAGCGTCTGGAAACAGTGGCACAAAAGTATCTGATTTTTAGTATATGTGCTGCCGAAGCGAGCACAAAAGTATCTGATTTTTAAAAAATATATATTTTATTGATTTTTTTACAGAGAGGAAGGGAGAGAGAGAGAGAGAGAGAGCTAGAAACGTCGATGAGAGAGTAACATCGACCAGCTGCCTCTTGCACACCCCCTACTGGGGATGTGCCCGCAACCAAGGTACATGCCCTTGACCGGAATGAACCCGGGACTTTTCAGTCTGCAGACCTACGCTCTACCACTGAGCTAAACCGGTTTCAGCAGTATCTGATTTTTATTACCTCCCTTTACAAAAGAAATTCATAGATATTGTGAAATATTATGGCATTATAGAAATAAAGAATAAAGATGGTAAAAAATACCATAGTGACCCTGATCCCCAGCAATAAGACCTATTAGTAATTTGTTTTATACTTTTCTATACACTACTACATAGACATCATATAAAATTGTTAAACAACTTTAAAAACAAAGATAGGCTTACACTATGTGTTTTGTTTTTGAAACTTGCTATTTTCAGTTAATGAATCTTGACATTTCTTTAATTCCATTACATGCATATAAAATTATTTACTCAATCTTCCACTGACATTCGGCTATTTCAATTTTTATTCTGTTACAACAGTGTTACAATGTACATTTAGTGTATACTTTAGTAGGTTTTAAAAAAAATTTAAGTTCTTTATTGTTTAATATATTACACAAGTCTCCTTTTTTCTCCATTGTACCTTAGTATGTTTGTGTGTAGATATTGGCTCTATATGGATTTAAAATCTTTTGGTAATTTACTAATTTCATTTAGGATGAGAAAACAAAGTGCAGTAAATATGCTGATGAACTTGCAAAATTGGAGCTGAAATGGAAAGAACAAGTAAAAATTGCTGAAAATGTAAAACTAGAACTAGCTGAAGTAGAGGACAATTACAAAGTAAGTTTAGTGTTTGTATAACTTGGGGCATAGTTGCATACTTTTGAAAATGTGTTATCTATAATTTTTATCAATCGAAAGCACTTCTTTTGTTTTATAATCCTCACTTGAGGATTCTTTTTTCATTGATTACCTGGGCCAGGAAACGAGCCTGCAACTGAGGTACATGCCCTTAATTAAGAGTCAAACTGAGATCCTTATGTTTGAGGGCTGACACTAACCACTGAAGAAACCAGCCAGGGCAGAATGTATATTTTTTTAATGCACGTTTTTAATACGAATCATTGGGATAGTGTTTTCGTGTCTAAATAAAAAGGTACTGTGAATTTAATTATGTTGCATATATTTAGTTCAGTAACTATGAACCGAGAAAATAGATACCCATATTTATTGCCATTGTGGCTTTAATTCTGTGTGGATTCAGGTGGTTATTAAAATTTTATCTCTTAATTATGCTTAGTATTTAAAGATGGAAAAGTGATCATTTCCTTAGTTTCTGGTTCATTTTAAAAGAAATACATATGTTAAAAATATTTGTGGGAGTGTAATAATATACAATCAGTAATTTTTCAAATTAATGTAAGAATTTTTAATTTAGTACCAAAATGTGATTGTAAGTGAAATACTGTAGAATACATTTTTGCCAATGTAATATAAGTCAACAAGCCTGAATGGTAAATGATATTTGTAAGAATATTAAGAAAAAAAATTAGCAGGCTGTATAATTAATAAGAAAAAGGTATTTTTCTAAGGAATAAAGTATAATCTTACATATTCTAAGATATACATGTATGTACTAGAGGCCCGGTGTATGAAATTGTGCACCAGTGGGGTCCCTTGGCCTGGCCTGTGGGATTGGGCCAAAACCAGCTCTTGGATATCCCCCGAGGAGTCCCAGATTGCGAGAGGGTGCATGCCAGGCCCAGCGACCCCACTGGTGCACGATCGGGAATGGGGAGGGACCACAGGAGGGCATGTCCAGCTCATCTTGCTCAGTCCAATCAGCCGGACCACAGCAGCAAGCTAACATAGTGAGTTTTATGTTGAGCAGTCTTAGCATATCATTAGCATATTATGCTTTGATTCAGTCAGTCCAAGGACTGAATGGTCCCAGGTTTGATTCCGGTCAAGGTCACGTACCTTGGTTGCAGGCACATCCCCAGTAGGGGGTGTGTGGAAGGCAGCTGATGGATGTTTCTTTTTCATTGATGTTTCTAACTATCTCTCCCTTCCTCTCTGTAAGAGATCAATAAAAATATTTTTAAAAAAAGAACCAAGGGAGACATGGATATGGTAATAGCATATTTTGACATAACGGTATAATATTTTTTAGAGTTTAAGGAGAGAGTAGATAATGAAAAAATTAATTACAATTTTTTTCTTTATTCAGCTTCAATTGGCAGAGAAAGACAAAGAAATAAATGGTCTAACTTCACATTTGGCAAACCTCTCCAGGGAGAAGGTATTGAACAGTGCTCTTTAAAAAATGTTTTGTATGTAATACAGCTTTATGAAGAGACAGTTTTATAGTTCATGTGAGGGTGTTTTTTTTATGTTTAATGAATAAAGAAAACACTGTTGAGACTATTAGATGGAAAATATTTTTTGTTAACTATTTTAAAATATTATACCTCATAATTTGAGAAAATGCTTAAGTGTTGAAACTTAGCTTAGTCTTTATATTTAACAATAAAACAGATTTTACAATGTTCAAATTTAGGAAAACAGTAAAGAAATGTTAAAGTATATATAATGTATTCATCTGGTTTTCTTTTGTAGTAGGAAATGCTTTAGAAGTTGTTAAATGATTTATAGCATGACCTAACATTCAATCAGAGCATAGCTTTGTATTGTAGAAAATGCTTGTTTGTGGTCCTTTTGGCGGGCAGGGTAGAGTGCGGGGGAGGAGTGTGTTCCTATTTCCTTTTAGAAGTCTATGAAGATAAAATTTTTTATAATACTACAATATTATTTTCCCAACCCCTCGCACCCTCACCCCCACTGTGTGCAAAGGTAGTGGTGGAAAACTGCTGACATATTAATTGATGGCAAGGCAGTGGCATTATAGTTACTGTAATCATCCCAACTATGCATTCACAGTTTAAAAAAAAAAGGCGCTTTCATTTTAAGATGATGAAACAGTAAAATAGTTTTATTGATGTTTGATCCTGGGGTATATATCTTTTTAATATTCTGTGTCATGAAATGGGAAGTACCCCCAAAGTACTTTGTTGCCTAATGAAGTAGAATGATTATTTTAAGGTAACGCACTTGGGCAATTGTTAGAGTTGTAGGCTGAAATAGCCTCTTTTTCATGATATATAATTTATATTTTAAAGAATAACAGAATTTGTTTTTTCAGATAGGGTTATTTGGCAGGCATTACTTGAAAAGAAATAAGTAAGCCTGTTACTTTAAGGGAAAAAAAATTGATAGTATTTGTGTCAATGATAAAATTCAATCTTTTGAGCAAAACTAGAATTTTGGGAACCTTATATATGCTGTCATAAGCTCGATACTTCCCATGGCTTACAGACTTTTCTAATGAGATTGGTAATAATAAAACTCTTGACGTTAAATAACTATTTACTGAAGTGTGTCAGCATTTTGAAGAGCTTCATAATTCAGTGAATCAATCCGTAGTTTAAATGACCAATGATAATATTCCAAAATGGTTCGTGATAAAGAAAACAAAACACCACTCAAAAGTCTAGATAGACCTCAAGGTTGGATAACATTACTGTGATAGTTGCAAAATTATGATTTTTAAAATCTATCACTTTCCTTCCTGTGTGTCCCTTGGCATTCTGTAACGAGGAAGAACCTTCCTTTGCCCTCATTCATGTTCTAGCAACAATTCTCTGACATCAGTCAACTTGGATGACTACAAATTCAGTTCATCTTTGACACCAGTTATTCAAGTTATTGCAAACCCAGTAAAGGGTTCAGCCCTAACTGCTCCCTACTCTCCCTTCGATATTTTGCTAGAATGAATTATAGAACTCAGGAAAATACTCCTTATGATTATTACAAAGTTGTTTTGTAAAGGGCACAGCTCAGAAACAGCCAAGTGGAAGAAAAGCATAGGGTAAGGTGAGGATGGAGTGCTCTCTTGTCAGGCATGTGGCACTCTTAGCATAATGATGTGTTCATCAACTGGAAGCTCCCCAAACCTAGTGTAAATGCTTTTAATATGGCGTCTCAGTACACAGAATGATTAAATTATTGGCAAAATAATTTAACTCCGTCTTCACCTCCCTCCCATTCCTGGTAAGTCCTAAAATTTCTAGTTCTCTGTAATATGCTTAGTCCTTCTGCTGACGAGCCCCTCCTATGAATCTATCTGAGGGTCCACCAGTAGTCATCTTGTTTGCATGAATTTAGGGTGGTCTAAAGTTTAAAAGGCCTTGTTATGAACAAGATACTCTTATGATTCAGTAAATTCCAAGAGTTTTAGGACTTGTGCCAGGAATTGGAGACAGAATCCAAATTGATTTTTTTATATCAAAGTCTGTATATGTATGTATGTATGCATATATGTCTTTTTAATTTTTTTGAGCGCCTGTGTCTGTCCCTCTCTGTGTACCTACTTTCCTGCTTTCTTACCTGATAATCATCAGTTTAAACTCTTTTTTTAGTCAGTGGATTAGGATTTGTTGCTGTTCTTAATTTGATGTTCACATAGTCTTAGATTTGGTAGGAAGGCACCTTCAAACTGTTTCCTGATATGTCTAGGTATCAAAAGAATGCTGCTGTTTTTTGAGCACTTCATTTCTTTTCAGCACTGCAAGATAGTCTAGCTCATCTTGTACATTTCTTACCTCATCTTTGGATTGGCTATTATTTTATTTAAAAAAAAAGAGAGAAAAAAAAAAGCTCTGATCTCACTCTGAAAGCAGTTATTTCCTCAGGAGTTGTGTGTGATTCCTTACTAATGAAAAATGGTAGGTAGAAATCAAAACAATGACCTAGGTGTGCACATTTTTACTTGTGTTTATTGCTTGTAGATTCTTTTAGTGGACAGCACTAGGAAACATTTACATTTTAGATGAGTTACAGTCCAGGTTCACAGGGTTCTTTCTTCCTTGCCTTCCTAGATTGCTATTGTACACCTCATCCACAGTGAGAATCCTGGTACCGAACCATGTCAACATATCTATTTATTTGCTAAATCCAGTAATCCATGTAAAATAAGTTTCAGAATTGCTTGCACCATACCACTATGAGAAGGAAACCTAGTAAAAATAGAAATCAAGATTGTTAGCAGTTTTTTGTTTTGTTTTTGTCCACTAGGCTCTCAGTATATTGTGTTCCTATGTCACTTTGCATTAGTTTTCTCTCCCCCTTCCTCTCTTTTCTCCTTTCACTTTCAGTGTGTGGTAACACAAAATGGCAAGTGGGTTAAAAAAAGACTGTTGTAATAAATAGTGTATGAAGGATAATTAATGCCATAGGAACACAAATGTAAAGTAAGAAAAATTTTATTTTTGGCATAAGTTTTGGTCAGCTGTATTATAGATTTAAAATGATGATTGAATCAGATGTGATAAGTTGAATATGTATATTCAAATGCTTAAGACAGCTATTTGAAATACGTATTTACTTTTGTTACCAACATTTGGGTTCTTGTGTTCCCCAAGAGAGAAATGAAGAGGAGGACCTACAGAAATTTCCAGACAGATTTATTAAGATTATTCTCGAGTACAAGGTGGCAGCGCAGAAGAAAGGCAGGCTATGAACTGGCTCGGACTGGCTCTGTGTGGCTGCTTTTATAAGCTGGGGACAAAGCAGGCTTTCATGAGAAGACGGGCTTGTGGAATTTTCCATGTTAGGGTAGGAGAAGCAAGCAGTTGGAAGATAAAATTCTGCCATTATTTTTGTGCAGAGAATGGAGGGGTGGTGACATTCTTGTGGTTGGCTTATCTGGTGTTTCTTCTGCCAGCTGTGTCCTTGGGATCCCAGGTGCAGGTGGTCTCTGCGATCTCACTTCCATGATTGCTAATAAGAAACCTAACTTTTAAGTATATATTGTGCTTAGAGATAATGCTAGAAGCCGTCACCACACTTTATTTTTATTTATTTTTTATTTATTTTTTTACAGCAGTATTAGTGTATATTTATTTCACACACTTTATTTTTAGATATTTTACTATTTCATAAATAAAAACGTAAAAAATATATATGTAAATATATGTACATACACACACACTTTTTTTTTTTAAGTTTCATACATGATTTTGAAAGAGAAATAGTCCTGAATGGCTGTAACCATTTATAAATTTTGTTGTGGTATAAATGGCTAAAATCACACATGGAAAGTAATATAATGATTGTATTAAGTATATGGTATAATAAATTGCTCCAAAACTTAGTGGCTTCAAACAGAGACTTTCAATCTTTTTCATCTCATGGTAGACATAAACTAATAACTAAATATATCATATGGCACACCAAAAAATATATCTTTTTTTTTGCCAATTTGACAACAAAATAGGTATAATTTTTCACATCGGATGGCAATTGTGTTGGCTGTTATTTATGTTTTTACTAGAGGCTCAGTACATGAAATTCATGTTGGGGGGGGGGGGGCTGGGCACTCAGCCCGGCCTGCACCCTCTCGCAGTCACAGCCCTTGGGAGGATGCCGGCCTGCACGGAGGCAGGAGAGGCCGCCATCGCTGCTGGAGCGCTCCCCAGCCACGACCCACTAGCAAGCCCAGTTTATGCCTTAGACCTGTATTTTTATTTATAGGATTTCATTATAATTTGAAATTAATATATGCTTATTTATCTAACATCTACCTCCTCTTCTGCTTAATTGTAAGGTCCATGCAGACAGGAATTGTGTTAATTTGTTTGAAATTAAATATTTGTTGAATGAATAAACATATAAATGGGGCAAACATAATTTACAGCATTTGCTTATATTAATGTTTGTTATAAGAAATGTACTGGAATCAGCAATTTTATTGTCAGTTAATACCCCACCCTATAAAATGCATTAGAGTAGGGCCAGTTTGCTTTCTGTCTGCTGTCTTATGTTACTCGTGATTTTCTTGCTGGTGACACTATAGTGTTATATTATTTCAAAAGATGGCTTTAAAAATAATCTTCATGTGCTATTCCAAGGCCTTGCTTAATTTTGTCTTCTTCCCTAGTTTTTCTCAGAACCCTCACCTCTACCCCAATTCTTTACGAAGTTAGGACTAAGTCCTTTTGTTCAGCATTAAAAACTGACCCAGGCAGAGTGCCTAGAATAAACCTAGTGATAATTAACCATTAGTTGAATAGGTAAACAAAAAAAATGGATTTATCACCATTTAATAGCATTGTATTTTACTTTTTTTTTTATTGTCCATCTTACCTACTGTAGAATATAAGCTTTATATGGGCAGGAATTTTTGTCTATTTTGATTATTTCCAAATCCCAAGAACAGTGCCTTAGTAGCCACATGGTAGATAC